TGTCCCGCAGTACCTTTCAAATATCTGAAAATCCATTTGACTGCCTCCCAAATGCTGTTTACCCGGCCTAGACATATACTTGCAAACTTGATCAACAACATGAGCTAAATCAGGACGAGTACATACCATGGCATACATCAGACATCCAACAGCACTGGCATAAGGTATCTCCACCATATCCTAAGTCTCCTTGGGGCACTTATCAACAGAAAGCTTGAAGTAGTTTGCCAATGGAGTGCCCACCGATTTTGCATCATTCATCCCAAACTTCTATAGCACCTTCTCCACATAACCCTTCTGAGACATATGCCACGTGTACACACTTGTACGTGCTCCCGTTTGTGGTCTGTCCTCCACTTATATGCCACCAAACCATTCTTTTTAGGACACAAGTCCAAAACAATGGCCAGTTTGGTAATTTAGCAAATAATAATCAACTAATACAACGCCCGTGTAAATACACGGGTGCTTGTTAAATTTTTTTCTTACAATTTAAAATTAATGAGAATTATTGAAAATTAAATACTTTTTATAAAGAAATATATATTATTATATATTTTAGTATGACACTTGTTACTTGTGCTACATACATGTGTTATATTATAATAATTTTTCTAACTTATAGCATATAACTACAGTAAATATAAATATATTAATTGAGAAATAATTTTATTTTTCTAATTAATTTTAATGTTTATTTTTATTATTATTATAAAGATAAATATTATATATATATATATTATATATACAATATGGATGTCAAATCGAAGCTCATAAAAAAATGGTTAATTTGATATATTATATATGTAAAACCGATAAGAAATACAAAAGTTATCAAATTTTAAAATAAATTTACAATTCAATATAGTTATAATAAAAAATGATATTAAAATATAATTAATATAACTAAAATGATCATAAATAAATCAACATATTTATGGTAATCTGAACCTAATTATTTTTGGATTAAAAATAAATTAAAATTTATCCAAGCCTAATAAAAAAACATGTAATTTTGACACATAAGATTCCGCATGTTCTGAATTAATATATATTGAGATAATCAATAGCCAATTGAATTAGTTGATAGTCGATGAAAGGATCGATTTAACAGTTTTTGCTTGATTGATTCAGCTGATCAATGTTTAATAAATAACTAGTACAACACACGTGTATTACACGGGTGCTTGTTAAAAAATTATTCTTAAATTTAAAAATTAATGAAAAAATTATATTAAATTTAGTTTATTTTTTTTACAAAAAAAAAGTATATTACTATATATTTTAGAATGATATGTGTTACTTATGACTTACATGTGTTATATTATATTAGTTTTATAACTTATATCATATAACTACTTGAAATATAAATATATTAATTGATAAATAATTTTATTTTTCTATTTAATATTAAAAATACTTGTATTATTGTTATAAAGATAAATAAATATTATTTTTTATACATATAATATGGATGTTAAATCGAAGCTCATCAAAAGAAGATTAATTTGATATATTACATATATAAAACTGATAAAAAATACAAAAGTTATTAACTTTTAAAATATATATACAATTCAATAGTTATAATAAGGAATGATATTAAAATACAATTAATATATGTAACATAACCATAAATAATCAACATATATATGTAACATGACCATAAATAATCAACATATTTATGGTAATCTGAACCTAATTATTTTTAATTTGGAATTAAATTAAAATTACCCAAGCCTAATAACGAAGCATGTAATTTTGCCACATAGGATTGCGAAACACCAGAAACAGCCACGTAACCTCAGCGCGTTCTGCATTAATATATAGGGGATTAACTGTTTGATATTTATAAACATATTAAACAATTAATAACATCTAATTCACTCGAAATCTTTAATTTGACCTCAAAATGTTAATTTAGCAAACAAATGGGATTGAATTTCAATTTTGTAGCGTGTTTCATTTCCATTTGCTCGAACAAGTAATGATGTTTGTGGAGACACGTGTATTAGCATTGATGTAATTAACCTCCACGTTTTCATCAAACGTTATTAATGAAATATTTAATGAGGTGTTCATAGGAAGTTTTTATTAGGTCCGTGATATATTTTTATTTTGGTTAATTGCACCTAAAATTCTCACTTTAGATAAAATTCAATCTTTGCAAATAAATATCAAACTTTTATTATGTATTGAAAATTTGTTTCAAAACAATTTTCCGACCAATCCTTATTGACTTGTTCGATTAGAAATCTTACGTGACACTTATGAGGCATGTATGACATCAATCTTTGAAACTTCTCACCATATTTTTGTCACATCATATGCCAACAAATTAATCAAAATGAGAGTATAGTGCCAGTTGAAAAAATAAAATTTTATCACAATTTTTTTGCTCCACAATCTTTATAAAAATTGAGTTCTTCTCCCTCAATTGAAAAAAAAAATAATATTTGCAGCGATTTTTTTTTCCATGGCGCGATTCTTCACCCTCTAAAAATTGAGTTCACCCCAACAATTTGAATACATTTACGAGCTCACCCCCAAATTCTGAAAAATTGGGCAGAGTGAACGATTTTCGAGTAATTTTTAGGCGATTTTAGAGTTCTGATCGGACACGTCAGTAAAATTGGCCGAAAAATAGTTTTGGGACAAATTTGCAATACATAAAAAAAGTTTGATATTTATATGCAAAAGATAAAAAAAATTGAGTTTCATTTCCAATTACACAAAAGGTGAGTAATGCAAGTGTGAGCGTTCTTGTCCGGTTTGGGATAGATCGATTCTTGTACTCGCCGGTAGAATGCCGGAAACCTGCAAATAACTCTCACACCAGAGGTTGTGTCCGGTGAAGAGCATCTGATGCTTAAGTCAGTATGAGTATGAGTATACTGAAGAGAGTAATGGAAAAATCGTGTTTAGTAAGAAAGGCTCACCCCCTTTATATAGGAGTGAGATACCTGACCTAAGGCTGCCCGGATTTGGTGAGCTGCCTGTCCAAGTTGCCCGTCCGTACTCTGACACACCGCGCGCATGTCAGAGGTGGCGCGGGACGTTGGGCGCTGTCAGAGGAGGTTGTCGCTATCAACCAACGCGTTCTCGACACGTGTCCTTCTGCACATGAAGTGAATATTCTTCTGAAATTCCGTTAGAGGTCCTTACACGCGCCTGTGACTAGGCCGATCCGTAAAGTGTTAAGTCCGCGATGTGGTCGACTAACCTGCTCGATCGTTTACCTGGTCGAATGATGGATTGGTCGACTGCTTGACTGGTCGATCTTCCTGCCACTTGGCTCGGCGCCTCCACAATACAGCCCCTTCAACCGGTTCAGCAGACCGGTTCAGCCTTGTGGGTATAATATCCTATATCAGTGAGGATTTTATGTGCAATTACGCCTTTTATTTTTCATTTGAAATTGTGTTATGTTAACAATCATATCCCTTTTCATTTTTTTTCCATATCCAATTCAATCAACACAATTAAAACATTAGTATCAACTATTATTATATTATCCAACGATAACCAATATACATGGCTCTAGGGGTAACCATACGAAACAAATTGATTCAAGCTGAACTGAGCAGTCAAAAAATGAATTGATTCAAGACGGGCATATCCCTCATTTAATGCACACGAAACCATGGCGCGTGATTAGAGCTGGGGCGGGGCATGCTGGCCTGTTTAGGCCTGCTCCTCAACGGGCTTAAAAAATCCCGACCCAACCCACCCCTTTTGGCGGTGCAAGGTAGGTCAGTCTGTGAGCTTAGACCCGTTTTGCCAGTTCTAGGCGTGATAGTGGCAAGAGTAAGTGCATCCGCATCGGTCTATTTAATGACCACCTAAATGGAATACACTTCCATTGACACCAACGTGGATAATTCATTCAATAATAGAAAAAAGTGGGTTCCTTTGTTGTCATTCGAAGGATTAAATGACATTTGAAGATAAAATGGTGCGCCAATTGTTGATATATTTTGGCATTTAAAAGTATTTACAAGTGTCGGTAACATGGACATGGCGTGGATGAAAGAAAACTTTTTTTTTTTTTTTTCGGTACAGAGAACGGGACTAGACGCCTAAACGCCTAAGTGAATAGATAGAGATGCGGATGCTCTATAACCACTATCAACTTTACTATTCTAGCCGAAATCTAAAGTTTAAGGACACTTGATGGAAGAGAAGGAAAAAGAGCTGCTCATTCAAGATTACGAAATAACTCGTTCTAGTCCATATAAAATGATCGACCGAATTATGCGTACATGAAATAAGAGCGATTAACTTTAATTAAAACTAAAATGAATAATTTTGTACTTCTTTCTTCAGTTCTCAACCAAAGAAAAAAAAAAGGTGGCTGGCATAATAGAGAAGGACGTACGGTACAAGAAAGAAGATAAAAGAGAGAGACACTAAAAAAGTTGCACCAGCCGGGAATCGAACCCGGGTCTGTACCGTGGCAGGGTACTATTCTACCACTAGACCACTGGTGCTGTATATCTTTGCTATTTTTAATATTATATTATAATATTAATAACATTCTAAGCCAAATATGAAGCAATTTGTGGAAGAATGTCAAGAAAAGAATATCTGAGTAGACATAAATATAGTTATGCATGCATTCATCTTCCTCTGATGATCTTTTTATGACATAAGGTCAGTACAGATTAAAAATGGCCGAAATTTTTACTTTTCCTGCAAGGTAAAAATAAAACCAAAAAATAAAAATAAAAACGAATGTAAACACAATCTGTAAATCGAATGATAACAATTGATTAAAAGACATACCAAAAGAATTTCCATGAAAACACATTTCTATAAAAATTAAAAAACAACATGCTCAGTTAACACACAATCAACATCAACTCACGAAGGCTTAATTAAGCACATATTCTCATTGCATAATGCTAAATATAAAAGGGCGAAAATCTCAGTCGACCATTTCCAGATCACCCCTAATGCCCTCACTATCAATGAGATGATGAGACTGAGATCATAGTCTCTTAAACACGACACTCATCCAAACGGCTTTTGTGAAGCTGAAACGCGGGATTAATCCACCTCCCACAACTGCACTGCAAACCGACCCAACTAAACGTGCCCAATCGAGTCTTGCAACCGAAACATTGAAGCTTATCTCCCAAGTAACCTTCCTCTACTGCCAATACAACACACCATTTAAACATAAGTGGATTATCACAAAGCCTAACCTTGAGGTTCAACCTAATTGCAGATAAAGGTAAAACTTAATTATCATAAGAAGATATTTTTTTTTTAAAGGAATTTGGGGGGTCAAATTCAAAGTTTACGTGTTTGCATCCACTTCATGGGCTCCACGAAAATAGACGAGCAATCAGTCGGAGCTTCCATTTCAGGGTCGTTTTTCCATTTCCCTCTGAAACACTTTTGTCCTTCACCACGGTCATGGGGAATGATATACTCTTCCGTGGCAACAATTCTTCGGCATTTCTTGCAACGGTATATGACCGAAGGCTTCGGAACCGATCCCGAGTCCACATTATCGGGAATCCCTTCCATCGGGGTTGCCATTTCGAATGTTGCAAATATCTACAAGACAGTATCAAAAAGCGAAACAAAGATTCAATTTTTCGTACACTAGGCAGAGTTGATTTTCTTAATTAACCTTATGATATCAAAATAGACAAGCAGGAAAAGCACTCCAAAGCTTCTAAGCTTGGCCTCTAATTCTTCAGTCCTAACAAGAAAAGTTCGGTGTTCTCAATTTCAGCACAACCCTTAAAGAAACAGAGTGCCCAACAACGATTCGATTATGGAATTTAACCGCGTACGAGAATTTGAGTAAGAATCTCATCGAAAAATTGAAACTCCGACAACAATACGAACAACGACAACATAAAAAAAATCCGAATTAGGGTTTTCAGTACAGTCAATTCTCACCCAAATTAAATTTTCTAAAATAAAGGTACTCAAAGCTATTGAAGTTGTGCATATAATACTTACTACGCCGGAGTAGATGGAGTAGATTTTCCGGCGGGTTCGATTTGACGGTCGGAACAACTTACAAGTCGCATACAACTGGTGAAACAAAACGACGTTTTATAGTTCTTACTGTTTAGAGGATTGGGCTGAGAAATGCTCATAGTAATGGGCCGGCTAATGAACCAAGACTATTGGGCTGGGCTAGTAGAAGATAATTTTGGAAAAAATTCATAACTGACCAACTTTATAAAAAATAAAAATTCTATGACGAAATTGCACCACTTACAATCTCCTTTAAATTATATTATACCTGTGTACCTCTTATATACTTATTTTTAAATTTACCTAAAGAAGTTAAAAAAAATTTATTTGTATCCAAAATACACTTAACCGTTACTAACATCTTTTTAATGGTAATGAGATAATTAAGTGATAATAAATATCCTCTTCCAAAAAAAAAGTGAAATCAAAAAATAAGGTTAATTATCTAAACCCTCTTTCTCCTCCACCGATCCCCAAATTTCTTTCTTCTAAAATTCTCACAACAATCAAATCTCAAATTTCAATTTTCTTTTTCCCGCACCCGCGTAGGGCATCCGGCAACGTGGTGGGCGGCCATCGGCTTGCGAAGGTCGCAGCCCATCAGAGATCGGGGCCCGTCGAAGGTCGCCGAATAGAGCTCGAAGGTGAGGTTGCCGATTGTCGAGGTTTGCAGATTGCTCTCATCGAGTTCGAGGTGTGGGCTAGTCAGCCACACGTTGCGCCATGATTTTGACAGACTGGTCGTCCGAGCAGCTCCTTTTCTGGTTAGAAGAGATTGTATTATTTGGATTGCAGATTGGGGCAATGGAGTTTCGTCACCCATGGCTGGAAGCCCTAGAATTTGGGATTGGGGATAGGTTAAGTGATTTATTTATTTAAATCTCACAGTAGTATTAGTTAGGGTCGGCTAATTAAGGGGTTTCTTCGAAAAAAACACAAAATCTCTAATTTTGACGTGCCGCTGTTGTCTCAATTCGGTTTTCTGTAATTTTTTTTCTGGTTATATGTTTGGTATATCTAATGTAATTGTTCCATAATAAGAAAAAAATTGAACTTATAATTTTTCTATGCTATTTATCTGGTTATATGTTGGGTATATCCGAGGTAACTTTTATACTTTTTGTAATATGTTGGGTTATATGTTGGGTATATCCGAGTATATTCGAGTAACTTCTCTCTATCCGAAGTATCTTTTCTCTTTCTATACTATACACTTTGTCATTGGCTTTCTGCACCTGTTACACATATATTGAATATGTACTAACATAAACTCAAAATATACTACCTGGCGGCTGCGTGAATTATAATATTTGCGTGAATTATAATATTTGAATTGAAGATTATTTTTTTTTTCTTTTTTCTCCTGGTAGACATGGCGGAAACGGGACCTTCAGCTGGAGTGGTTACGTTACCTTGTAACTGCTATTTATACAATATAATAAATAAATTAGTTTCTTTAGATATAGTTGTAAATACTTTCATATAATGATAAAAATCGAAAATATTTATTTATCTTGCCGCATTGATAAAAATTTCCCAAATTCTATCACAACAATGGATGAATGAGAATTAGTGCTAGACTACTTTCAAAAATTAATCTCTAAAATTAAGAAAATATGTAACAAATATTATATCTTATATAAAATACTCCCCTACCCTACACACGGTGGGCACATGTTAATATGCCCACCGTGTAGGTGGCATGCACTTATTAGTGATGTTAATATGTTTAAAAAAATACATCACCAATGAGTGCATGCCACCTACGCGGTGGGCATATTAACATGTGCTCACCGTGGGTAGGTGAGCATTTCTCTTTCATTTAAAGCTAATAAATAGGTAGTTATATAGTAGTAGTTATAAATTCAAATTTTTTTAAAAAATAAAAATAGAAAAAACTGCTAAAACGTCAAGAAAAATAAAATATAGATAAAAAAAAAAAAAAAAAAAAAAAA